AGGGGAAAATGAGGAGTTGTTACCAAGGGCTCAAGTAGAAAGAAAATGCTTTGAAAATGACAATGGTAGCTATATGCAAATGTGCTTGACACAATGGATGATTGTATGGATTGTGATAAGAGACATAAGAGCCCCAATAAAAATATATTTTTTTAATGACCACCAAAAAAAAAAAAAAAAGAATAGCACCATGTCTCGTCACCAGTAACGACCTTGGTAGAAAAGTCTGGGTTGCTTGTTCTTTCACAGCACGGCATGTTTCCACTCTACGCTCTTTTTCCTGGTCAGTAAGAACTGGAGGCACAAATTTCACAGCGACTCTTCTCATTCCCGAATCTTCCATTAAAATTCGCTGAACCGAGCTCCGAGATAGCCCAGGTAACTTCCCCATCTCTTCAATGATCTTCCAACACAAGGGCAAGAATTTTGTTGATTTTCGTTTGGGAAGTTGATGGACGTCCAGAACGAGGTTTGTCATCCATTGACATTTCACCCTTTTGAAGCGAGAAAACCACTCGTACACGTCGTACATGTTAAGTTTTTCCTACAGTGCTGTCCTTGTAAGCTTGTTCAACATCACAACAGTTTCTGCAGCATTTTTTTCTGAGGAGGAAATAAATTTCACAGATGCACACTGTTCTCTTACATCGGCCATCACAAAAAAACGAGATTCAAGTAAAACTGCTTTTACGAAAAAATTCACTGTGACCAGAGAGAACCTTCCCAGGCGTGCGTCTGGGTGCACTAACTCACAGCGAATTGCTCACACTCTCACAGCAGGAAAAATGCACACTCGGAAAGCTCCTCCTAGCGGAGCTTGCTTTTCTGCGGGGAGTAACCCTTCCTATTGCATAAACCTGAGTCTTGCACATCCCAGGGACAAGCAGATGGATCTGGGCCCCCACTGAACTCTAGCCTCAATCCAAGAACGTGGCCCTGCTGGATACTCACCTTCATGTCATGATCACTGAAGATAAGGGTGGTACAGCAAAGTGTGCTGAAGAAAGCAGATGGTGCCTGGCTAGCAATTGGAATAGTGTCTGGGGTCTTAAAGGCTTGTATTCAAACAAGCAGCCATCTAAGCAAAGAGTCGATTAAGTCCACATGGAAGAAGCACACCAGCTTGTGTGATCCAAAATGACAATAACAAAATTCAAATATGACAAAGAGAAAAGTAGCAGAGTCCAAACTGAACACCCAATTTGTAAAGGGCTATGGAGGATAGTCGGGGCCCCCAAACCCATCTGCAGAGCATCTAGTCAGATTAGCTGCTGGCAGATCCCCTCTAGCCACTGGCAAGGGTCTCAAAAACTTAACTATCAGAGATCATTGGGTCTCTGATAGTTGGGTCAGTTGACCTGCCTTCTTGACCCAACCTGAAACTGTTCTAAGTGCAAGTATTTCTTACTTGCTCCATGACAAAAATTTCTTCCCTGGTCTTTTAAATGCTGATGGTGATCTTTTCTTTCTTACTCATTATTTGTATTTTTATCTTTGTATTATTATTTTATCCTTACCACTTTGTTTCTGTTGGGTTCGCCAGCTTGTGAAGCACAAAAGGAGTAGATGCACAGAGATAATAACTGAGGCAAGGGTTTATAGGGGAGGTGGGGGGTGGGTGATGGAAAGAGTGAGGGGGTTGGGGGAACAAACAATATATGTGGGAGGGGGAGGGAGCACTAGAACTGATTGTGATTACTCATTTTTAAAGCGATTTCATGGTGAGAAAAAAAATGAAAATGTACCATCGAAACTGTAAAAGAAAAGATATTGCAGTGAGGCCCCGGAGCTTGTGGTTGTCCCCAGTGCACACCAGACAGCAGGCTATCACGTGTGCACTGGCATGGTGACCAAAGTTGGAAATGTACCCTGATCCAATCAGACCTCTGGAGCCGGAGAAGTCACGTAGAGACCCCTGCCAGCGCTGAAATGCTTACAATGCCACTGGATGCACAAGACTCCAACCCACAGGCCTGTGATCCTCCTGCATTCCACATCATTACATGTATTTCATGAGTCTGAAGAGGACTTTATAGATTGGTATTGGGCATAGGGGCTAATATTGGACCTATGGACTTGATCTGGACTGGGCTGTTTTTTCAATATTCAATTGCCCTTGTATATAAACCTCTTTCTTATATATATAAAAAAAAAGTTGGAAATGTGGCAGGAAGGACCCACTGGGGGCCCTGAGGCAGGAAGTGAGCATGTGCCATGGGAAACCATGACGCCAGGAGGCTTGCTCCACTCAGGGTAGCTGCACCCCCCACTCTGTAGAACTCGGTATCCAGGGGGCCAGGCAGCACAAGGGCACAGACTGCCTATGCGAGAGGGTGCTAGTAGGTTGTGACATTACACAGAAACTGACGTCACTGGGCAGTCCACGGGCAAATGAACCGGGCTGGGAGACGTCCAAAGCACCTCTCTGCAGCTGGGCAACTTTGGGTGGTTGCCTAACCTCTCTGCTCCTCAGTTTCTGCATCTGTAACATGGTGCTGGGAGACCCTGAAATAAACATCGACTACCTACTGTCCACAGGCCGATGCGGTCTCCTGGACACCCTATAGGACAGGGCAGAAGTGCCGCAGGGCTCTGAGGCTGTCATCTGTGCACAGCAGGTTGCATGGCAAAGCTGGAGACTGCAACC